TCTTGACAAAACATTTACGAAGAAGTCTTGACAAAACATGAAAACATATATAATTTGTGAAAAGTGAAACATTATATAATGTTTTCGACCAAGAAGACTAACAATTTTCCGAATAAAAACTTCATTTATACTAAACATCTTCAGGGCTAGAAGGCACGAAGTGCCTGGAAGCCCCACTACCCTTTTTTTTTTTTTTTTTTTTTTTTTTTTTAAAATAGTTATATATTAGAAAATAATATGAGTTTATGTGATATTATTTTTCAGAAGATTTCATTCTATATGCCTATGAAAAGTACTCTCAAAACTAACTTTTTCCTAATTATAATTAAATCTAGAATATTGTATTATGCTTAGTATTATTTCATTTTTCTCATTCAATTTAGAATTTACAAATGTCAAAAAATTGAGAGCTGTCACTTTTGATGAATTTCTGTTTATTACAGCATTGTTATTAATAATGAAAAATAAAGCTTATTTCAATGAAAATTGTTCTGCAAATTTATTTCACTTTTGACCTCACTTTTTCCGTAATTCAATTTTTTACTTTTAATATTTTAGATCTTCATAATATCATTTGAAAAATTAACCATATAAAAAAATCAAGTTATCAATTCACTTTTTCCGTAATTCAAAAATCAAAAATATAAATAATATATCTTTTTATCAAATATTATTATTATATTCTATGAAAAATGAGGTCCGGAAATTTTGCGGATTCCCGTAACTCAATTTTACGGAAAAAGTGCAGTAAACTATTCAAAATACGGAAAAATTGGTGTAAACTAATGATTTTACGGTAAAATCACGGAAAGTCCCGGAAGAATATATGTGCCTATATGAAATTATACAAAAATGAATCAAACGCATTTTAAAAGATTGTTCTTGTATTATAAATGCTATTCGCAGATTTATTAGTTGAAGAAAATTACCAAATTTTTGCCGATTTACAAAAAATGATTTACAAAGCATATTTTTATAAGGCTTTAAAAATCTTTAAAATGTGACCGGTGACGGAAATCCATGGTAACCAACCACGGTTCCCGTTTGGAATGCCATAGACGCATGTATTGGTATTACTATTTTTGTATATTTTGAGAGAAAATCCCTAAAAAGTGAGAAAATCTAAGACGGTTTGAGAAAATATATAAACTATTGAAAATTTGAATTAAACTTCTAATTTGGAAAAAAGAAATTTGGAAAGAAGAAAATTCAAAAATCGAGATTTAGACTCAGCATCAAATGGAGAACATTATGGGAAATAAAAAAATTTTCTTGTGAAGAAATAGAGTTTTGAAAATTTTATTGTATGTAATGAAATAAACAAATATTAAAATTATTTTTTGATAACAAGAAAATTCCCAATAGAAAATATTTGAGAGAAAGAAAAAAAGAAAATTGAAAAATATTACTCTCCTTTATATTTCATGAGATTTTAAATTTATTCTCATAAAATTGACAATTTTATACGTTTAGATGAAAATAATTGATTTTGCTTGAAATAAAAATTATTGTTTGTTTACAGCTATCAAATAGATTTTTGCTATTTTGATTAAAATTTGTTAATCAAATTAATAAATTTTTTGTAAATATCTTAAATATCTGGATCACTCACTGATACAATGAATTGAACGATAAAAATAATACAAACTCAACTAAGTTTCCTGTCTTTCAACTAAAAAAAATTATGCAAATTAAATTAAATTGTTTATTCAAATATTAAACAAAGATGAAGTAATTACAGTTATCATAAACTTTATGAATAACTCTGTAATTGGTTCAGATTTTCGTAAAAATATTTTTATTAATATCGATAAGAATACGTTTACCTACTATCACAACATATCGATAAACAAGAGTAGAGTGATTTTTATCATCGAAACTTTTTAAAAGCTGTAAGCTGGAAGGAAAAATCTTGTTTTTTCTGAGTTAGTTGTAGAACTATTGATGCACGAGTTATCATTGTGATGTAGAAGGATGTCAATGTACTGACTGAAGGATATGAAGTGAATTGAATTTCATTGCATTTCAATTTGATCAAAATTTGTTGAAATGATATGAATGTGTCAACATCTGTATCACTCTCTTTCACTCCTTCCCTATTCTTTCGAGAACGAAGCTAGCTCAGCTTTCGCTGAGCGAATTGACACTTTTGATGCCCTAAACGTACATACTCTCAAATTTATCGAAAAAATTATACCACCTAAACTAGTATATTCTTATTTTAAATATGATATTATCCTTAGAATCCACACTAGAATATATTTAAATCAACTTTTAAAAAAGTTCGAATCCTGCGCGTCTCACTTTTTAAATTTTCCAAATGGAAAATTATATTCTCCTAAAATGAAAACAATTTTCCGAATTGACATCCTTAAAATAATCGAAATATGAAAGAAATAAAACTTAATAAAAAATGAACGTTTATAATTTTTCATTATGGATTATCCAACTCCAACTACTGATTTCCTTGATGGATCAACACATGATCACTTAATGTTACGGTTCCACATATGATTTAGATCATTCTCCTTAATATTTATCGAAGAAAAACGCCAAATAATGAAATTTATTTGGTTTATGCCCGCTGAAGTCAATTTAGACAGATTACAGTCCAAAGGATCCAGTAAAAATCACAATATTTTTACACATGGCCTTAATGAAAGCCAACAAGAATAAAATTCTTGCAAATTATTCAAAGAATTGTAAGTTTCATTGGCAAAAATGAATAAAGATATTGCTTATATACTATTTTAATTTACTAGCAATGATTTTTTGAGTCTTATTAAGTTTTTTTAAAAAATTAAAATATCTAAATTTACATATTTTTAAGTTTTTGTTTTGAATGCACTGCCCAAATATACTCAATGTAAGGATACTATTTATATTAATATTGGCTTCTAAATATCAAGGTTTACACCTTTTTGCCCCGTTTATACCTTTTTCTCCCGACTATATATATATAAGCATCTCAAAATCTATTCATTTAATATTTTGTTTTTGGATATTTCGAACTGCTTGACAACACCACATGATATCGATCCTCTTCAGATCTAAGCATTTTTCTCGTTCTCTGACCAGTTGAGAAAAATTAATTATGGTATATAATTATTTCTTTCAATAGAAACGATTCATAGATACTTTCGATTGCTTGTTGTTGGCAAAATACCACGACCGAATTCCATTGTGTCAGAATATGACCATAAATATTCAGGCAAAATTTGATTTCTGACATTCAAAAGATCAAAGATCAAAAACCATATGTGAACTAGTAAAATGCTAGATTTTGTTCAAGTTATATCAAAAAATGTAATTCTCGACTTTATTCAACAAATTGGTGAATTCGTTTTTTCTCAGGCAAACAGAAGATTGTTCTGATAATCGCTAACGCCACCAGCAAGAAAGAACATGGAGGACATATGCATTAGGGCATTTTTGCTCTAGTTTTGACAAAAATAAGTTGAGTGCATTTTTTTTTTCAAATTCTAAAAAAACGATAGGATGGCATTTTTTGACAAATTAATAAAATGTTCACCATAATTCTATCTTTAGAGGATGACAATATTTGGAATAGTTACTTCAAGTCAATTTTAGGAAACAAACTAATCATTGTCAAAATTGTAATCTACCAGCAGGTCAAGGTCAATATTACTTAGATGAGTGCAATTTTTTTGATGATAATAACCGAGTTATCAACTTCGATCCAATTAAAAACTCCTTATTCCTACATAATCGGTGTTCTTTTAGTAACTGCACTTCAACTGGGAGTGGAAGTTGCATTAACTACAAAATCGGCAGTAATAGCTCGATTGTTCAACGAAAATTCTGTTGTACAAAATGCCAAAGTCAACAAGGAGCACATTTTTCAAATACAAAGTTGACAACGATAACTTAAACTTTTTTATTGAAAGTTCCCTTTTCGATGTAGGAAAAGAAAGTTTTGGTTACTCTATAAATGCAGAACTTGATAACATCATAGTTTCATCAACAAATTTCTCATCATGCAAAGCATCTTGGGGACCTGCTGGTTGGTTTCAAAGTCCTTTAGGTAAATACACAACAAAATATAACTATTCAACTGTTGTTAATAATTTAGCAACAAGTGAAATGATTCTAGATATTTGGTATAACTCTTTGATTGATTCATGTAATATTATAAATAATACCAAAACAAAATCAACATATGGAATTATTTACCATTCAGATAATTCTCTTACTGTAAAAAGTTGTTCTTTTATTAACAACACTGTTCCTCAAGATTCATGTTTGATATATAACTATTATGATCAATTAACAGTTGATAGTTGTTACATTGACAATTCGATTTCATCAACATTTTATAGAAATGTAGAACCTACTAATACAAGAGAACCATTTACTAACAAATTGATTCATCTTTCAACTGGTAATTGCCAAGCAGAATTTGCAATTATCAATAAAACCAAATGCATTGAATATTTCTCTCACCGATTCCCACGTCATCGATTATTAAATATTTAATATTAATTATTTATCTTAAATAAAATTACTTTTATTTATATAGAAACTTTCTAAAATATCCGTATTCTGTGTTCTGTAAAAAATTCAATGATGACAGAATTTATTACATTTCCATATGGATAAATGAATGTAATTAAATCCTACTCAAAAATTAGCATGGAATATGATAATATTGATTATTTATTTATTTTTTGTCTGGTGAAAAGTCTCGCACTTCACAATCTCATAATTTGATTATATTTAACATAACTATTAGTTGTTGTTGTATAGAGTTCTTGATTGTAACATCAACAAAACTTGGAAGATGGAAGTCAATGTCATTCGAATCTAAATATTCATGAATATATGTAATATACCTCTTGATTGTAATATCAACAACACTTGAAATATTGTTCTTTAATCAATGATTTATTACATTATCATCTTACTTTTTTTATACTTCTAAAACATAAAATTCATTATTTATGAGATAATTAATAAAATAAAAAACAAAATAACTTTATTTATTTAGATTCTTTTGGGATGACGAAGCGTGGACATAAGTTGTTGATAGACTTTAACCAGAATTCTGAGAATTTCTGTGTTTCTTCTTTCATGAAATTGATATATGTTTCAAATGATGTAACACGTGACTTCATTTCACGTTGATATTCCTCAAATGAGCGATTCCTTTCAACAATAACGCCGCGATACATAGATGTGTCAATAGATGTAATAATAGGCATCATTGCGGATTCAACAGACTTGATTGCATCTGATTTCTTTGGTTTCTTAACTGTTTTCCTTCCTGAATTCTTCTCTTTCGTTTGTTGATCTTGACTTTCTGTTTGACTGGTCATAGAAGACAATGGTTCCATTGTTAAAGGTAATGTTGGCCATTGCCGGACATGGAATGGTCTGTCTTGGTCATCTGGTAATTGCATGGACTTCCTTTCTTTGTCTTTAATCAATGATTTCAATGTCCTGCGTTCTTCATTGGCAACTGGACCTGGAATCAAATCTTCTAATAATGGGAATTTATCAAACAATGACATCAATGAAGATGTGATTAATGGTAAATGTGATGTGAACATGTTCATTACGTTCTTCTCTGTTTCGATAATAGAGTTCTCGTAGTTTTGGATAACGGTTAATTCATTCTTACGTCGTTCTTCTTCTGAATTATACAATTTCTTTAATTCGGAAATGTTGTTTGAATCGGATAATTTAGGACTCAATGCTTTGACGTTTTGATCGCGTTGTGTTCTTAATTCTTTCATTTTATTGTTGAATTCGTCTTTGTTGTCAACAGTCAATAATTCGATTTTATCCGCATAATACTTAACAACACAATCATATATTAAAATTCATAAAAACACTTGAAATTCTGCGAAGTCTTTCTCCTCACTATTCATTTACAGAGTATGTAGTTCAGGGGTATTATTGTGTACTTCCTCTTATACCCATGCAAATTTAATCTACCGATTTTTTAAATTCACATGAATTTTTAATTAATTATGCAATTGAGAAGTTAGTATGGCTAAGTCGTGTACTGAGGCACTGCGCGCCTCCGTACACCACTTAGCGGTTTTGACACTTTACAAAACCGTTAACGTATATTTTACAACACAAACGACAACACCAACTTAACCTTAAATATTTACAAAGCCATCAACCACTTCACCTCACTAATGTAAAAAATAAACGTTCTCACTTACAAAAGTATTGCAACTCCTCCCATTGCTGTGCTTCACATAACAGCTCATAATCTTCTGACTCACTTTCTTCTTCATATAGGTCAAAATCACTGTCAAAATAAATGTTAGTAAGTTTTGACAAAGCTAATGAAACACGTTTACCGTTTGTATCGTATGCTTGTATAAACTTTCCATTCTTCATTCCTTCATAAACGCTCAAACTAACTTTACCCTTTCTCCCTCGTATCTGATAGAATGTATTTTCACGAGGAACGAAGAACAAATTCTTGAACTCATGACCGTTGTAGTTTGTTATCTCAATAGTTTTCGTCATTTATATAAAAATAAAATAAAAAATAAAATAAAAAATAAAATAAAAAATAAAATAAAAAATAAAATAAAAATAAAATAAAAATAAATAAAAATAAAATAAAAATAAAATAAAAAATAAAATAAAAAATAAATGATATCACCACCCTCACACGTATGAAAACATAGCACAAAAATAAATTTAGGTGAAGTGGTGAGATCTCACCTCTTTTTTCACCTGTTTTTTCACCCTGTTGAATTCATTGCTTTATAACTCTCTTCCTTGGTTTCTTTTTAGTTGCTTTCTTCACGTCTGTCTCCAACTTGACTGTCTTTCTTCTTCGGCCGTAATGATACCAGTTACTTCCACCAGTCAATGGGTCAAATGGTCTTTCGTAAGGGTTTCCATACATTCCATAAGGTCCGTATGGATAAACCGCTGGTGGAGAAGAAACATTTTCTTTAGTTCCATCGACTCTATTTAAATGCATTGTTTCACCTTTCATCTGGTCATTAAAGTCTTTTGCGTGTTTTGCAAACTCATCGTCCTTTCCTAAAGCATTTTCTGACTCAGTCGCAACCAAATTGGATGCTTTATTTATGAGCCCTATTTTATTTAATCTTAACTTCTTTGCAACCCAGCCTCCAATCTTCCCTTTATTTGCATCTAATGTCTTCGAAACCCTTCCTCCACTCATTTTATTTACTGCGTCATAAGCTCCAAGTGCTTTTGCTCCAAATGCTAATGCTTTTGTTCCCATTGCGCCTAAAGCTGCCCAAGCTACCATTTACACCATATTAAAATCATCTCTCTTCAATATTATCTCATAAAAGTTCTCGTTACTGGAGAAAGTCAATGAAACATAAGCGTTCTCACGGGCTTCGCCCTCACTACTTTGCGGTCTATCTAACTTCTTTCTTATATCATCTATACGCTTCAAAATGTCTGAACAATTGCTAACATCTTCTACAACAGTTATTTCATCATGAATGACCTTCAAGAACAAGCTCATTTAATATGCTATTAAAATCATCTCAATAATGAGTCCATCCTTTCCATCTTTAGGTAGCACAACATCTTTCATTGAAGAAGGTTCGACAAGTCTTATGTTAAACTTACTGACAAAGTTTGTTATACTATAATGCTTTGGCGGCGAATACATATAGTTTGAAAGACATAATATAGATTCTTCAGCAAATTCACTTATACTGGATTTTATAACAATGTTCTCACGAGACCAAATACCACCAATTGACAATCTTGTAAGCAATCCTGCTGAACCTTCTACTGTAAACGTCGATGGTAACATTCCACGAAGGTCATCTATTGACATCGTTGAGTCACTGTATTTAAATATTTTCTTAAAGCAATCGTCATTATCTAACCATGCAATAGCTTTGAAGTTTTCATTCGAATATACATCTGCTTCATTAAATGTAAAACCTGACTTCTTTGCAGAGACGACTTTAAAATCTATTGAGTTTGTTTCAAAATTATATGCTATGGTAACTTCTGAAGGTAATGGATGTCCTTCCGCAGTCAGTTGTTCTCTCACTACCGTTTGAAGCTTTGTATTAAAAACTTTCATGTCATCTCCTGTATCTAAGTTCACATACACAGCAACAGGGAAACTATCTTGCTTCTTTGTTTCATCATTATACCTCAAAACATTAAAGTTCTTCAATAATATTGTTCTTCCTGCTGGAATACTTCGAACCTGTCTGATTTCAATAGCTTTCTCACCTCCTACATACTCTACCCAGTGTCTTGGATATTCATAAGTATACTGACTTTCTTGAATTTTGGTTGGTTTCATCATAACATGTTCATAGTATATCTTTATACTCTTGTCAGTTAGACTCGGTGCTATGTTCTGAATATTTCTGACTTGCATTTTTAATGGAGATAAAATGAAGCATTTAATACATGACGTAGATGAAGACATGAATGAAACTACAGACAAACTTAACTCTTCTCTTATTCTTCCTTTCAGCAAAGATTATGAGTTCTGTTCAAATGGTGTGTATTTCTATTGTGGAAAGATGGGTTCAGGTAAGACATTTAACCTCATTCGTCATATACTCATAACAGAACGTTTAGGAAATGACTCATATTATGACCAAATCATTATATCAGCAACTTCAGACTCTATGGACTCAACAGCGAAAACATTTATGTCAAAAGTTCAAGCCTCTGTCGTTAAAGTTCCAGACAGTGAACTCATTGAATTTCTTCAACGTTACATTCGACGTAAGAGAAAATATTATGCCATCGTTGAATTTATACAGTCAGGAATGCAAAAGACTTCTGAGGAGATGGAAAGAATTATTGACAAACACCACTTGCGTCAGTACTCAGGAGTTTACGATATGAAACGACTGACAAACTACATTCTATCAAAACTTTCAAAATACCCCTTCAAAAAATATCCATCAAACACTTTATTAGTTTGTGACGACTTCGCCGGAAAAGGTTTAGTTTCAAAGCCTGACTCACCATTAGCTAACATCATAACTAAAGTCAGACATTACCATTTAACTGTAGCAATACTTATGCAAACATGGAGGTTTTTAGCTTTAAACATAAAACGTCTCATAACTGACTTCGTTATCTTTCAAGGTTTCTCACGCTATGACATTGAACTCATTTGGAAACAGTCAGGTATAACATTACCTTTTGAAGAAATTTGGGAAGCATATAAGTCTCTCATCTCTCCTCGTTCATACCTTGAGATTCATATCATGACTAATACCATTAAAGTCAAAAATATTCCATGGGAACGACCAACATTGTTTTAAAGTTTAACCTTCAATTGACTGATGGTAAACAAATTCCATGCATCTCTGTCGCCATTTCTGTTAATATTTTTGCTGTCATTCATATCATCCACTTCCCCATCCGTTAGCTTTTGAGGATATGCGTTAGAATAGCTGTTCTTAAATGAAGGCTTTTCACCTTTGAGAGCATAAACTCTATAACTTTCTGCATACTTTATGTTTGAACCTCCTGAGCCATCATTGACATAAATTTTTATAGGCTTCCACCCTTTGTTCATGTTCCTGCTTCTTCCCTTAGCTCTTTTGTTCAGTAGTTCTACATCTTTATACACAGCTCCTGTCTCAGTGAATTCAACAATATTTTCATTCGTTAGCTTTACATTCAAACCCTTGTCGAGTATATTGTTCATTTCATACATATAAAAGGTTTTTATTCTATATGAAATGAGAAGCAAATCCATCTTAGCTGGTGCCGTTAATGTTCCAATTGAACCAACATCAAATGTTGACTCACGAACGACAAACAATATTGTCATAAAGAACTATAGTTCAGAGTGTTTGAAAGAACCAGAACCAGAGCTGAAATCCGTGAATTTAAACACAGCTTCAAACGCTAACGCTACATCAGATGTTAAGTTAGAGTATCCACCACTGGACCAAATTCTTTCAAGAGAAGCCAACGACAATCCTTACACAAATGTTCAAACAAATCCTTCAGATAACGTAGACCATTACCTTCTTCAGTTATACCAAACAATTTTACTCAAAGACGATAAGAAGCTTTTGACAAATCTTATAAGTAAGAACCAAATAATTCTAACAAAGGAGGACCTTGAAAATGTTATCTCACGAATAACAGGGAAACAATGTGTCATGACTATCTCGACCCTGAAATCGAATGCTGTGTCAAACTCCACTATTCATGAAAATAGGTAACATCCGCATCATTGAAACACCAGGAACTACAGGAGTTGAGTTTAAGTATAAATATTCGAATGAATATACAAAACTTTCAACAGAATATAAACTTTGTTTGAAATATGTTTTAGTAAATTAAAGCAGTCAGGAGGGCTCTTTGAGAGTGTGGTAGAATTTACGAAAAAGTGACACTTAACCTTAAATTTCCAAACACTATTTTTTTGATTGTATTTTGTTATTTATATATTTATATATATAAATATATTTATATATGTATATTTATATATGTATATATTTATATATGTATATATTTATATATGTATATATTTATATATGTATATATTTATATATGTATATATTTATATATGTATATATTTATATATGTATATATTTATATATGTATATATTTATATATGTATATATTTATATATGTATATATTTATATATGTATATATGCATGTATTTATATATGTATATTTATTTAAAAAAATTAAAAATAATATAATTAAAATTTATTTATATTTTAAATTTCATACTGATCTTCGATTCCAATTTGTGAATTGATATCATTAACAATTGAATTTCGGTGCACCCCTATGAGAGCGCTGGCGACCGAAACACAACTAGTAAGATTGTGTATTAGAAACTGCTTCATGCTGTGTTGAGTAAGCTTCGATGTCTTTGTAGGATAGCTTTCTGAGAGCGAAACAAGATAGTGTTGAAAAAAAAAATTGAAAATCTGAGAGAGACTGTGCAAGAGCCAACGACCAAAACACTACCAGTAAGATACAGCAGTAGTAGCTGCTTCATGCTGCATTGAGTATTGTTGAATAATTTGAAGTAGTGGTTTTTGAAATCAGCACCCCTATGAGAGCGCTGGCGACCGAAACACAACTAGTAAGATTGTGTATTAGAAACTGCTTCATGCTGTGTTGAGTAAGCTTCGATGTCTTTGTAGGATAGCTTTCTGAGAGCGAAACAAGATAGTGTTGAAAAAAAAATTGAAAATCTGAGAGACTGTGCAAGAGCCAACGACCAAAACACTACCAGTAAGATACAGCAGTAGTAGCTGCTTCATGCTGCATTGAGTATTGTTGAATAATTTGAAGTAGTGGTTTTTGAAATCAGCACCCCTATGAGAGCGCTGGCGACCGAAACACAACTAGTAAGATTGTGTATTAGAAACTGCTTCATGCTTTGTTGAGTAAGCTTCGATATCTTTATCAGACCACCTTTAAATTAACCACTCACATTCTCACTGTGGTCCATCTAAAATTTGTAAACTTTATGACATAAAATTATATTTTATGCAGGATCCCACCTATTACTTAATCTTTTTGGAATAAATGTTTTATAATATTTATCGATTGATTGTAATTTTTTGTAAAAAAAAGTTTTTTATTTATATTAAAAATATATTCGGTTAATGATATTATCTTATAATTTGTAAATAAATCTAGTAATAAAATAACTTTAATAGTTGGTGTCACTTTTTCGAAAATTCTGGTTTTTTCATATACAAAACTTTCAACAGAATATAAACTTTGTTTGAAATATGTTTTAGTAAATTAAAGCAGTCAGGAGGGCTCTTTGAGCCCATCTTGGCGCTTTGTGCCGTCAGTCAAAAAAAATTTCAAGTTAGCAATTTGTAATATCTATCCAAAACTTCTTCAACAGTATCGAACTCATCTTCATAATGCAAACCTAATCTTATTGACTTGGTGCAGTTTTCACTAACACAATATTTTTCTGTTCTCTTGACTGACATAACTAACTCATTTGTTTCATCAAACAGCAACAACCAAAGTTCATGACCTAATACATAACATTCATACTTTATATTTTTAGCTCTGAGTTCTCTTGTAAGCTGTTGCATTTAATATTTTCTAAAAAGTCAACTTCAACAGTCATTCGCACTGGTGCCTTCAGTTCTACAGGCTCTCCTTGAAAGTCAACAAGTCTGAATTGCATGTCTTTCAAATTATGAGGACTAATGCGAACCCATTTACCTAAATGAGTTGCTATGACAGGAACGTTTGGAATGAACATTGAATTGACTGCATAACAGAAGGATTTATATTCTACTGAACCTTTACTATTAACTCCTGAAATGCCTGTGACATTAGCTATTTTAGACTCAATGTATAAACAATTACCATAACATACGTATGGAACAGATTTCATCTCAATCGTTTTGTCAACACTTTTCAAAGGAAATGTCATATGGTATGCACCCAAAAGAAGTTGTACTCTATGACTCATTCGTGTTATCTTAAACTCCTTCGCATAACTGAACTTCAAAACTCCTGCAATAAGTTTAACATTCATTAAGTTTTCTTCGTTATCCTTGTTTATTGTAGTATTTATGAGAGCATTTAACACTCCAGCTAATGTTTCCATCTTATATTCTACATTATTGTGAAATCTTATTTCGTGCTTCTTTCCATCTATTTCAATCTCCATGAAATCTGTTTCATCTGTTATAACGAATGAAGCGATAGTATTGAAGTCAACCATTCTGAATGCAAGCGCCTCATTCTGTAGACCTAAGTTTGTTTGTAGCTTTACTGTCCCGTATTCGTTTGGGTCTGTACTTTGCAAATAGAACAACATTTTATTCTCATTAAAATATGAGTATAGCTGCATATGCGTATGAAGCTGACAGAGCTAAACGTTTATATTTTGGTCAATACTCTCTCACACTTACTGACAAATATATTGTTATCACTGATGGAAATACTGAGAAATACATAACATGGAAGGACTATGAAAAGTTTGACCCTATTTTAACTCCATGTACTATGCCATTCATTGTAAATGGTGAAATCGTCATGAAGAACGACACAACTGTTTATAGGTCTGTATATGAAGCTCTTGAAAGCATTCTTAACTTCAATCCTTCAGGGTTCGATACAAAAACAACTCCTTCGACAATGCCATTCATTGTAAATGGTGAAATTGTGTCAAAAAATAATGAAACAGTGTATAAGTCAGTGTATGAGGCGCTGAACTATATGCTTCATTTCAATCCTTCTGGTTTTGACCCACAAATAACTTCATGTACTATGCCATTCATTGTAAATGGTGAAATCGTCATGAAGAACGACACAACTGTCTCAAAGTCTGTTCGTGATATTTTAGACTACTTGCTTCATTTGGGTCCTACAGGATTTGACCCATATACAACTCAATGTCAAGTACCATTCATAAACGACTCAGCAGAAATAAAACTCAAAACGTCAACAGTAGATGAAGCAATTGCTGACTCATTGACAAAACTTCTTGATATAATAATGAGGTTCAATACATTCAAAACAACATATGAAACCTTTAAGAAAAATTATGACGATTTCTTTAAAATTACATACATCGAGCCTTCTGCTCCTCAAACACCAGACTATGCATGCCTTAAAATAAAGGCTGCACGGACACAAGTTAGAACATTGACTTTTGACGGAGATAATATCGTTAGAGACGTTACACCTGGAGACACATTACTTACGAAAGAATACTTAAAAAGTCATATCAGTGATTTTGTGAAAGTAGAACAAAGTGGAGCAGGTAAGAGTTGGTTAGGGTGGTTGTTTACTTTATTTTCATCAGGTGTAACAACTGCATCTCTTATAACCATGCAAAGTGAGATAGATGCACTCTGGGCTTTTCTTGGTGGCATAGATAGCATGAAGTTTTATGTTGAGTTTGCTAAATTACATGGAAATACAGGAAGTTTCTTTGACGGTCTCAAAAATTTATGGGGTAAAGTAACATATAATACAAAGAAACTAACTAACTGGGCACTCAAACGTAAAAATATGTTCGACGGACTTGCTTACAACCCTCGTCTCGGAATTATTGAACCAATTAATTTACATCCTTTAATGGCAGCAAGAGATTTAGATGAAGGAGGACAAGTGGTTCAAACAATTGTTGAAAATCTACTGAATATATATCCTGAGTTTAAAGAAGTTTTAACAGCAACAAACACAACAATTCGTGAAAACTGTATAGTGTTTAACACTGAAGATAATATTTTAGACTATATGTTCGTTGTTTTAGGTCAGTTAGCTAAGACAATAAAAGAGAAAGGTATTGACTCAGTCATAACAGTTGAAGATGTAATGTTAAGAAAGACTTTTGACTCATTGTTTCAAGAACCAAAAGAAGTAGTTAGTCTTTATGAAGTTTTGAACGCAATGCTGACAAAAATAAATGAAAGTGACACTGGTAACATAAGTGAAGCAAAAGTTGTTGAACTTCTTTCACAAAAAGCAGATAAAAACCATGTTCATTATATAACTTCAGACGAACAGATTATAACGGACTACCATGGATATTTAACACGAAGTGATGAAGCGAAGACAAAAAATGTTAATGAAAGAAGATATAAATACATTCGTGCTAAAGGTTATGACATAAGTACTGTACAGTATGATGTAGCTAAAGCACCAGAAGCATTTGGTTATACCGGTGAAATTTATGCCTCTACTTTCAATGTTAACGGTGTATTAGTTGAACCAAGATTTACTTTGAGAGTTAAGGCAAAAATAACTTTTGAAGATGCTATTAAAAGTAAAGCTGACAAAGATGAACTTGACGTAACGAACAAAGTTTTGAAATCTCATAAACACAATATCTCCGATATAAATGAACTTCAAGCTACATTAAATAGTAAAGCTGACAAGAACCATACACATAAATCCTTCACTACTGTTAGAGCAGACGACATAATATTGAACTATACCCTTGGTTCAAGTGCACCTTTAGAGAATCCGAGTACAAGCGTAAAAGATACACTAAACTCCTTAAATAACAAATGTATGAACATTGAAGGTCATGCCAGAAACTTTGAACATATGAACTACCAGCAATGTTAGATAAAAAGCGACAAAGAACATACACATAAATCCTTCACTACTGTTAGAGCAGACGACATAATATTGAACTATACCCTGGTTCAAGTGCACCTTTAGAGAATCCGAGTACAAGCGTAAAAGATACTCTTAACAATTTAGATAACAGATGTATGAACATTGAAGGTCATGCCAGAAACTTTGAAACACATGAACTACCAGCAATGTTAGATAAAAAGCAGACAAAACTTATGTAGATGAAAATTATGCAAAGAAGTCGGAAGTAAATGCTGCGCTTAATGGAAAAGCCGACAAGAACCATACACATGAAGAATTTCAAACAATCAAGATTAAAGAAATTAAAGCATGCATCAAAATAGTAACAAAAACAGGAAGAAACGGTGCAACTGTACAAGAACAAAGAATTTATCCTCCTACTTTTCCTAATGGTTTAATAACAAACAATATAAATATTGTAGATGGCAAAGGATTTATAAATGTTAAACATGAACTTCAAACAATGAAGACTCAGATTCTTGAAACCATATATCCTATAGGCTCTATTTATACGTCAATGAACTCAACAAATCCAGAAACAGTTTTAGGTTTTGGTACGTGGGAACAGATTGTAGACAAATTCTTATACTGTGCTAACTCTTCAAAGCAAACGGGGGGTTCGAAGAAAATTAAAGAAGCAAACCTTCCACCGCACACTCATACTGGAACTACAAACACAACAGGTAATCATTCACATTCAATAACAAAAAGAGGTTATACAAATCTTGCAGCAGGTTCGGATAGACAGGGAATGCATAGATATGATATTTCAAGTGACCCAGTAGATTCAAGCGCAGGTATTTTCTGTGGAACCACAGGAAATCATTCACACACTTTCACAACAAATCCAACAGGCTCGGGTGCAGATTATATGCCACCATTTGTGACTATATTCGCATGGTACCGCGTTCAATGAACGCGCTTGAGCCTTGAATAAAATCTTTAACTTTACATAAATGAGCTTGAAAGAAGTATTCGAACAACATCCATGGAGGTCATTTAAGAAGTTCAATGAAGCTGCAAAGAGTTGGGGATTTACTAACAGAGCTGAAGTGAAAAGATTCTTTGACAAAAATGTTGTACATCAAACAAAAATAAACCCTTACGACTACTTTTTACCAATTTACTCCAACACTCCTGACGCATACCAATTTGACACTCTCATTCAAAGCAGAAAAAGGAGGACATAACCCATTCCTCATCTTCATAAATGTTAATACTCGCAAAGCATATGCATATCCAATGAGGAATAAAGGAACTCGTGAAGTGTTAAGAGTTTTACAACAAAGTTCGTGGCAGAACATAGCCCAAGTACTTTAACATCAGACCAAGACAGTGCATACCTCAGCAATGAAATCACAGATTTTCTCATTAAGCATAACATAACTCACTACACTACTGAAGACCATAACCATAACATACTCGGCATCATAAACCGCTTCATAAGAACGCTCAGAGATTTAAATCAAGAGCGAGACTTTACCGAAGAAACAATGAAACATTTTCTCGAAGTATATAATTCCTCAACACATTCTACAACAGGACATACACCAAATTCAATGACACAAAAACAAGAAGAAAAGTATATACAAAAGAAACAAAGCCAAACACAAAATATCAGAAATTCAACACAATTTACCCTCATTCCTGGAACAAAAGTTCGTGTAGTTCTTGACGACAAACCGTTGACAAAGAAACGTTTAAGGTTAAGTAGAAACTATTATATCGTAGACTCTACGCAAGGTAATGGATATCTTATAAAAGCTGCTGACGACTCTATTGCGTTTTACCCTCGTCACAAATTAGTCGAAAGTAGTAATGGCAAACTTGCTGAAACCATTGACGAAGCAAAGCGAGGAGTGGTTATTGAAATACTTGGCTACAACATAAACGATGACACTTATAAAGTAAGATATGAAGGAGGCGTTGAAGATGTTATACCATCTAAGAACTTGAGAGAGTCGAAGCCAACACATCTGGGACCATTAGAGCGGGAGTACTGGAAAGACAAAAATAAGCCAGAAAGAATAAGAAAATTCTTCTAAACTTTTTCATTAGATGTAAATCAGACATGAATGAGAACAGTCATGATATCATTAATGGTACCATTTATTTTTGGTGAATTCACCAAAAATAATGTTTAGGTGAAGAGGTGAGATCTCACCCGTTTTTTCACCTCTTTTTTCACCCTCGCCGCTTAGCGGCTCAGATTGCTTTAGCTTTCTCGTGAATTTTCATGAATTTCCTTAAGACAGAAAAAATAAAGTTAGTTTTATTTTTATTTATTTTTTTATTTTGTATAAAAGATATGATTTCAACAATCGGCACAACAACAATTCAAGCCACGAACGGCGGGACTCTGTCCACAACTACAGCACCAAACTCGCTAGTCATGAATCCTACGTCAATGTTGGTAGAGATGAAAAGCTTTATTCCTTCTTCATATACTTTTGAAACAGAAATCGAGAAGATAAAGCAAGAACTTTTAACAAGTAATTTAGACTGTAGTGCGAAAGATGAAACAAATGAACAGTATCTTTATGAAATGGAGGACCTCATCGACCATTTGCCTAAACTACCTGAAATTCAGCAGCAAAAACTAACTATTCCTGAATTCGACGAAATTGAAGTCAAAGCAACTGACTCAGTAGAAATTAAGAAATTCATACGTAAAGTAAATTATGAATTCCTTGGTTTTCATTGCAACCATAAAGTTATGGACAAAGATTGCGACATGGTTTATAAAAATATTTCTGACCTTTACAAATCCGAAGAATTTAAGACATACGATAACTTTGTTTCATTAGTTGCAAAATGTGTATGGCAGATAAGAGATAAAGATAGAAGAGGTAAAGTATGGAATGAACAAATAAGACCCGCTATGTTTGAGATGAAGAGAGCAATTGACGCTTTAGTTATTTTAGCTGGTAATGTTTCAATGTATAACGCAAAAACGATGCCGCAATGTTCAAAATGTAAAGCAGCAATAAGAAAATATAACTACTCAGTCAAAGAGATAGAAAGAATGCGAAACGACTATGCAGACTTAAAGAAAGAAGCAGAAAAGCCAGCAGAAGATAAAATGGATATGTTGACATTTCTTAATAAAAACTATCCAACAGCAGAAGATTTCCTTTTATCTGACGTCAAGAAGAAGTATAAAGAAACCTTCGGCATTGTTAAAACATTCGATGTACTAAAAGAAGAAATAGAGGCTACAAAATTGTTTAGGATTTCAAATATACATCGTACAATTCATGTAAAACGCTTGTGAAAAAAGAGGTGAAAAAACAGGTGAAAAAACAGGTGAGATCTCACCTCTTCACCTCAACATTATTTTTATTGAATTCAGCACAAAAATAATGAATTTCATTAGTTATTTTGTATGTAAAGACAGTAATGTCAAACATTGAGTTTGAAACAGTTAGAAAGATAGACAATGACACCAAAGTGGTTAGAATAGGTGATTTAAACGTAAGATACTCAAAGAAATACAACAAATATTCTTTGTCAGACATTATATCTCCATCTGGAAAGAAAACAAACGACTGGGTTAGAAATGCTTCAACTCAGAAAATTTTGACAAGAAATCCTGAGCTTATGATATCAGTAGCATTTCATGGAACAAGAGCATATCTTATAGACAAAAGTCTATATACCAATAGTTTTGTTATGGTTAGACCCAGTTGTTGGATATAACTTCATAACATATGGTTCATTCGATACGGAACGTTGCAGTGAAGGCTTACTTTACATCGTTCAGAAACCGAAGGACTTCAACACAAAAAGATATAAGATAGGAAGGACATATAATATAGGGTGTCCAAAGGTGTGTTTAGCACAAACCTGAATACTGCGAATAGAAATAAACAAGTTACATATATATAAAGTTTATTTAAATATAATCACCATTGGATTCAATCACGCGTTCGCAGCGATCGATCCAGGCTTGAAAGACACGCTTTAAATCATCATGAGAAAATTGCTCAAATTGCTCTCTTACAAAATTTTCAAGATCATCTGGACTCGCGAATTCGCGTCCTTCAGCTCTCTTTTTTAGCGTGCCGAATAAATAAAAGTCAGAGGGTGCAATATCAGGTGAATAAATTGGGTTTGGAACAACTTTGACATTGTTTTCCACCAAGTAATTCATTACCTTATGACTTTGTGAACTCTTGAATTATCAAAATGAATTGCAAACTTTTGTTTTTGTTGTTTGGATTTCTCAAACTCATCAGAATTGATAATTTGAGTAAGAACATTGTCAATTAGATACTGAGCATTCATCGTATTAGGTTTTTGAAGAATATCAATTGCGATGATGCCATTCACGCCCCAAAAAACCGACAACATCATCATTGGTGTGTCAATTTTTTTCTTCGGAATGTTTGCGGATTTTCATCCTTCGGGATCCACATTATTTTGGCTTCTGTTGCATATTGAAACCAAGACTCGTCCCCTGTTACTAAAAGCGAAACTTCTTGGATTGATACGCACCCAATATAGAGAGGAGCTCTTTCGAAGATTGGACTCTAGATTTTTTTTGAACTGAATTAAGGTTGTGCGAACCCAACGTGTATACGCTAGTTTGTAGTTCAAATAATTGTGCAGATAATAACTGACTGTTGTACGTGGTATCTTTGTCATCTCCTCTATCCTTCTGAGTGATGCTCTTGGGTCTTCATCTAGCGCTTGAAGAATTGCTTTGATTTTTCTTTGATCCGGCGATTTTTTGTCAATTTTTATGATGGGCGCCTTTTTGTTCATGAAGTGATACATCCTAACATGATACGTTACAGTGGAATAGCTAGGAGCATCCATACCGAAGCATTTTACCAATGTCTCGTAGATTTTTTTACAGTCTTTGCATTTTTTTTGCAAGAGCGAGGATGTTTTCTTTATGATTCATTAAAAAAATGAAAAAAATCCCGCCAAAATTTCCCGCGAAACCGCCTCTTGTCTCAAAATTCATTTTATATCCCGGCATGCGCCAAAATACAACATACTCATCATATACATATATTAATATTTTTTATTATATATTTATAATCAGCATATATCTCCTTTAATAGTCTCATATAGAGCGCTGTGCTAAACGCACCTTTGGACACCCTATATAACTCAAAGATATGACAGTACAGTCAATAGAGTCAAGTTGTGTTTGTTAATGATATGAGAGCTGCTGAAACAGAACTGCTTGAAGTTTTTGAGAAAATGTATGGTGCTCCCACGAAAGGTAAAGAAACGTTTGAAGTAGATGAGATAGATAAAGCTATAAAATTATTTGACGAAGTTGCTGAAAAATACATGTAAAGCGTTTATTTTTGGTCTTTTGTGAAAGTCAGAAAATAAAGTTAGTTTTATTTTTATTTATTTTTTATTTTGTATGTAAAGACAGTAATGTCAACATTAGAGAACACAACAACAGTTATAGTCCATAAAGCTATAAATGAAGAATACGAATACATACAATATAACAAACAACTTCGCTCATTCGTTCGGCCAAAGACGATATGTACCAAATGCAAAGTATAATGAACGCTCTTCGTTCTACAAAGCAAGCATATCATTGGTTTGAAAACCAAAGACAAAAGAACTTTTAGAAGAATTCCTCATATGATTGCTTCCCTCGGAAAAACCGAGAGAAGAGATTCCGTACGAAAATCGCAAGAATTGGCTCCTGGTTTGAAAGGTTATTATGTTCATAGACTTTTAGTAAACGCTGTAGCAATATGGGCTTCACCTCGTTATGCTTGTTATATTTTCATGATGTTAGATGAACTATATAAAGCAGAACGTGGAGAGATGGAAAAGAAACTTCAAGCAAAAGATGAAGTCATTGAATCCAAAGACAAAAGCATACAGAAAAGAATACCGCGTTCGGTACCAAAAGGAAAGGAAAAGAGTTATAAGTATATGATATATACTGAAGAGTTGGAGAAAGAAGAAGATAAAATGTGGTTATGTTGCATTTAGTCAGAAGAAACAACAAGAGCTTTTTGACTTAGCTAAAATATATAAATCTGACAGAAACTGGTTCTATCGTGAAAACTTACCAATTTCAATGACACCGAATGAGCAAATAAAGGAAATTGTCAAAAATACTCTTCCTCAAACACACTATGAATCAAAGTTGCACAATACTTACATTCAAAGAAGACTTAACATTACTGAAGGAAAAAATAACAGAATTTTCGATAACTTCAAAGAGGAAGAATAAAAAAATCTAAGCTAATTTATTTTTTTTATAAAATTTTATCTCATATGAAAGAACATGAATTTAGAATATTCGGAACTCATGACAAAGAAGAGAGACGACACAACATGTAAAAGATTATGCAAAATTTCTGAAGACATACAAAGCATTTAAACAATATCTAAATGCTTCTAAAGATTATGCAAAATTCTGAAGTATATAAAGCGTATAATATATGAAAAGTTTATACATTGGGAATTGTTGTAAAATATCGATATGAAGACTAACCAAAAATATATTTTTGCTTAAATAGCTTCAGGGTCTATTTCTTCAACCATTTCACTTCCTTCGTCAATGTCAATAGAAGCTTCTTCAAACCTTTGGTAAGAATTTCTGTATAACATCTTTGTTCGTTATTGTCTTCAGAGATGAAGGATAATATTTCACATTTGTTTCACCCTTCTATATTCTTTCTGTTCGGAAAATTTAAAGCAATACTGAAAGAAGTCAATGTTAGAGTTCTTTATGACAGAATATAATGAGTATCTTTGACATTCACGAAGAAACTCTTTTGTTTCAAAACTACTGCTAACTCTTGTGAAGTATAACGTTTGCGGTCAATGACGATAGCTAATGGTCTGACATACTGACCAAACTTAGATTCTTTCACAAACTTCTTGTTAAAGATAACATTAACATTGAAGCATTATTGAACTCATTCTTGATGGCAGTAGCGAGAGCATTGTATGAAAGAACTTGCAATCTTGCATGTGTTTCATTAAAAATATAAATATTAAATTATTTTTGAAAAATAACTTAAAAAAATCTAATCTAATTTTTTCTAAAAATATTTTTTTTATTTCCTACTAAAGATGTATCGGAAGTTGTCTAAGTTAGAACACTCGGAAATAAAACAACTTCTTACAGAAGCTAACATAGAAGTTAGCAAAACATTACGCAACAAACAAAAAAGCACTCGCTGACTTCATTAAAGACTATAATGGTGCAATAAGTTATGATAGAATTCATGAATTCATAAAGCCGCAACGCGCGAGGACGAAGTCCATGCAAGAGCATTTCCTTTAAATGACGTTGCTATTGACTTATATCATAGACGTTCAGTACCTCATGAAGTAAGAAGAGAAATGTTGACATAACAAATGCAAACGTTGGTAAAACACGAAAGAGAGACGACACACTGAAACAACAGAGAAGAGAGATGTTTAAGAGGCTATAGAACAAGTTCGCAAAGCTAACGATGTCATTCGTTCCATTGACGACAAACCAAAAGAAGGTGAGAGATGGTTAAAGAAAGATGAAGAGAATAGGAAGAGAAATGTGAAGTCAGGCAATAGACTCATTGACTTTAAACATCGAAGCTTAGATGAACCAAAACAGAGACTACTTACACAAACATTTCGGTAAGGTTTTCATGAGACTCTTAGAGAAAATTAAAATAAACTCACAACAGAGATGGATGGTATGTTATAAACTTGTGGAAAGTATGAATTTCTACGTTAAACCTCAATAATATTGGAACATTACTACATCAGCTCTTGAAGGAGAACTTTATATCAGAGATAGAAGCAAATGCTGCAGGTATTGTTGAAATGCACTATGACTTTCTTCTTGACAAACATAAAGAATCTTACCGAAATAAAGATGTATGATTTAACAGAATATGAAGGCTTAACGATGTCAGATGTAAAGAAAGGCAAAAAAAAAGAGACCATATAGAGATGAAAGCACACTGACAAATGACCAGAAAGCCATTTTGGAAGCTCTTAAGCAAACAGGAAACCCAGCACTTATAGAAAGCTTTTGGAAAGATAATGGTGAAAAGAAGTTTTATAAGAAGAGAAGCGGTCAGTTCTGGAAGTATCTTTGCACATTACCTATAAATCTTGAGCGCTACCAAATTTTCAATGAACTGAACAAAAGAACTGCAGCACTTATGACAGAAGACAATTGTTTCGTTTATGCTTGCATTCAGGCTGGAGTAGATGGAGAGACTATTGACCACATGAGAGAAGTCATTCGTGTTAGAGACTTTCCTCAAAGTAAAGTACAAGAAATTTCTGACGCAACAGGTATAGCATTTAATGTTACCATTGGTTATTTCAATGACTCAAGACATAATGAAATAAAGAGATACATACCAAAAGAATGTGAAACTGTTCGAACTATTGACTTACTTCTTGTTGAAGACCACTACATGCTAAATGAAAGATTACCAATGACAACATATTTCATTCGCAACTATATAGAAATTCTCAAAGCTTGTGGTGGAATGAACATTGAGAAACAAATGAAGATTTATACAAAGAGAGAAGATAAATATGTAGTTCGTTATGATAGAACAACACCGTTATGGGATGTTATGAAAACATTGTGGGAGTGCAAATATTTCGAACCTATTTCTTATGGAGAACTTTTCACATATACGACTGACTTATATAAACAGAACCTTGCACCATTTAAAGACTTGTCATATTCTCCTAAGTATTGTGTTCGACTGAAGGAGAAAGCAGAGTCAAAAGAAGTAAATAAAGCTAAGTGTAAGTTCATACCTGAGCACGTTTTCTTTGCTGACTTTGAGTGTAGCACAGACGGCTTTCATAAAGCCTTTAACATCTGTTACGACAGTGAAGATGGTTCTGTGAGTGAAAGCATTTGGGGTCAGAACTGTGCAACAGAATTTTTGGAGCGACTTCCTGACAAGAGTTTAATATATTTCCATAACCTCAGTTATGATATAAACTTCATCTTAAGACACATGATAGAAGTGAAAGGAACTCCCATCATTAAAGGTTCACGAACAATGCAAATAACTGGCTTATATAAAGGAAGGGCAATTATTATAAAAGACTCTTACAGTGTTATAAATAAGAAGCTTAAACTATTTCCTGCTATGTTTAACTTACAAACAGGACCGAAAGAAGTATTTCCTTACAACTACTACAGCAGTACTTTGTTAGCAAATGACAACAGAACTGGTGTCATTTCTGAAGCATGTAAGTTTATCCGGGATGCAGATGCATTCATGAAAAACATAGATTCCATCAAAGGTTGCAGAATAGATGAGAACCATTTCGATTTAGAAAAGTATAGCACATTTTATTGCAAACAAGATGTAAGAATTTTAAGAGAAGGTTTTGTTAAGTTCCGCAATGACATATTGAAAGAATTTGATTTAAACGTTTATGACTACGTTAGTATTTGTTCAATTGCTAACAAATTATTTGAGAACAGAGTGTACTTCCCGAATGGAAATTTATATGACCTCTCAAATAAACCAAGAGAGTTTATTTCGAGATGCATTCAAGGTGGAAGATGTATGCTGTCAGATAACATTAAACAAAAGAGCGAAACGAAACTCATTGCTGACTTCGACGCTGTTTCATTATATCCATCAGCTATAGCAAGACTTTATACTTTAGAAGGTATTCCAAAGGTTATGAAGAAAGAAATGTTAAGCACAGAGTATCTCATGAGACATTTATTCGATGACGACCAAAAGGAACCCATTGGTGAAAAGTTTATGTCTGGCTTCTTTGTTCTCATTAAGATAACAGAGATTGGAATACATAGACACTTTCCTTTAATAGTTTGTGACCCTGAACTAAATCCAGAACTTAACGTTCCCAGAAGTTCAAACACTTGCTGTTTAATGTATGTTGACCATATAACATTACAAGACCTCATAAAATATCAAGGTGTCAAATGTGAAGTGTTGCAAGGATACTATTACGATGGAAACAGAGATATTAGAATAAGAGATGAAGTAAAGAAGTTGTTTGAGTTAAGGTTAAAGTATAAGAAAGAAGGAAATCCTTTGCAAGAAAATATAAAGCTCATTCTGAACAGTATTTATGGCAAAACTATTCTATCTCCTATTGAGTCAAAAATAACCATAGTAAATGACAAAGATGCTATAAGATATGCCATCAGAAACTACAACCATATAGTGAAGTTCGAAGGTTTGGATGGTTCAGATAAAACTATTTTCAAGCTAACGAAAAGCATTTGCAGACACTTTAACTTCTGTCCACTTGGTGTTAACATTCTGTCTATGTCGAAGAGAATAATGTGTGAAGTATTCTGTACTGCTGAAGATATGGGTCTTCAAATATTTTACCAGGACTGCGATAGCATGCATATTTTCAATGAAGACATCCCACTGTTAGCTCAGGAATTTCAGAAGAGATACGGTAGAGAACTTATTGGTAAAACATTAGGTCAGTTCCATTCTGACTTCGCAGAAATAACACCTGGAAAACAAAGTTTAGCATACAAGTCAATATTTTGTGGAAAGAAGACTTACATAGACTTACTCACGAATGATTTAAATGAAGTTGCATTTCATGCACGTTGTAAAGGTGTAAAACAAGACGTTCTTGCTTTAACAGCTAATGAAATGTTTCCTGAAGCTATACAATGCTATTACAATGAAGATAAGAACATTCACATACCTGTTGGAACATATGACAAAGACTCTGAGTTCAGTTTAATGAAACTTTACAAAGCACTTCATGATGGTCAAGAGATTGGATTTTACTTATGTAAGTCTTCTAGTCCTTGCTTTGCTGAAAAGTTTAACTTCTCAATAACGACTAAAACAAGCTTTATTCGTAAGTTGAAGTTCTGAGGTCATTTATTTTTGTCAGCAATGAGGTCATTCGTGATAAAAATAATGAGGTCATATATTTTTGTCATTTATGTATAACCATTGTCTCTCTTAAACTTTGCAATAGACAGCTTTGTTCTTCTTCCTTCTACATCTGTAATGTTTATATAATCTTTGCTATACTGTCTTAAGACATTCATTCGTCTGTATTGAGTTCCCATGAAATAGTAAAAGACATCTTCACTTGGGACATAGTAGTAATTTTCTAGAGTAAATTTAGAGTATTGTATAATTTCAACAGCATCTTCAGGAAGAGTGTCTACAATGTCAAACCAATAGCCATTCGAACCAGAAATATTTCTCATGTTTTGTCTTCTCGACACCCACCTTAAGTTTGAGATATGAAAGTCTCCTCTGTCTCTGTTTATATGGTCTACTTCTCGAAGTCCTTCAGGATTCGGTATAAATTGATTTGCAACAATTTTATGCTTAAAGAGTTTATGTTTGTTTAAATAAACACAAATATAACCATCACCGTTGTCAAACTCACTTACAACTCTTTTGTTACTTATGCGCCTAATTGGATATGGGTACTCTGAAAAGATTTCATAGTCATTGTCATGTTCGAGTGTTTGCCAATGTCCTTCACCTTCCATGCCTTTCACTCAAATAAAAATTTTCAGAAAAAAATAAAACTAGCGTAGATTTTACAATACAGCAATTGTAGAGTTTAAGAGTTGTGCTTCAATGTAGAGACAGTCCTTATGGTCTGGAGGTAAGAACACTGGGCAGTTATGGTCATGAGTGGAGAACATGTCTATCCAAAACTCACGATTGAAGCCAGTTAATTTATAGTATTTAGGGTTAGGAAGTGGTGTAGTTCTTGTATGACCTATGAACTCATTTTCAACTCCCTTACTTAAGTTTGAATATAATATAGCTTGCTTTCTATCCCAAATGCCAGGTGTTACAATCTTTGAAAATTCATTTTTCCTCGGAAGCATTGCATCATAATTGAAAACATTCTTGAAATCATCACTTGGTTCAGAGATTTGAAATCTTATACGTAATGGATTTTTTTTTTTTAGCTACTTCATTGAATGGTGAGAATACAATGAATTGACGGTCATGAGTTCCATCAGCATTTGCTACAAACTCGTAATGAAAAGCTATTAATCTTTCTACAATTCCTTCTTCTTTCAGTTCTGCAAGAAAATCACGTAAAGGCTGTAAAGTTTGTACTTCAATGTTAAACTTCTTTTGAAAATTTTCGTAAAATGTAATTATACAGTCTTCTAACGTCGTACTGTCATTGAAGTATTTGTATATGTGAATGTTTTGGGCGCTTAAAGACTGTTCGTCATTTTCTATCTCGACTTGAAGTATAAAGTCAACCTTTCTGAAAGCACGTGTTATATACATAGATGTTATGCCAATGTACTTCTCTTCATTTATGTTCACAATCCAGTCTGTTGGAAACTTAAACGTTACTCTGTTCCCCTTTATTTTGACGTCAGGGTTTTCACTACTGAACGCAACAGATAAAGGTATTTGTCTATACATTTAATGCGGATAAAAATAAACCATTTACTCTTTCTTTGCTTCAGCTTCTTTAGCTTTTGCTTCAGCTTCTTCTCTAGCTTTCTTCGCCAGTAGTCTTGGGTTCTTTTGTCTTCCAGCAGCTAATGCAGCAAGTTGTTTTTCACTAAGTTTTCTCTTTGGTCTCTCTGGCTTTTGTTCTTGTTTTTGTTCCTTCAGTTTGGATAAAATTTGCTCACGAATTTCTTTCTTCAATGCTTCAACATCTATGACCCCTTGGGTCTTGTCCGTAGGGCTTGTCTGAGTCATTTGACTGCAGATAAAAAACAAAATTAAAACTTTAACCGATGTAAAATGAGCTTGTCAAAATCAGAACGAGAGTCTATTATATTAAATGACGCAAGAGGAATACAACATCCTTTCTATTACGTAAGTCTGAGTAAAGATGGTAAAATATACGTAAGAAAAAGAAAGGTTCCATTAGCGAATGCAGAAAGCGACAACATTAAGGTGTATGGCAAGGGTGAAGTCCACGAAGCCCATATTAAGCCTTCTATTCAAACTGAAAAGTCAATAGAACCAGAAGAAAAGAAGCCAGATGTACTTTCAATAACGAACCAAGAGCTTATTGCAAAGTTCGTGAATTTCATTGAAAAACAAACCGAGTCAAAGAATCCTGACCCGCCAGTGAAAGAAGTTGAGACAAAAGAGAATGTACAGTTCATTGAAAATGTCAAGAAACAACCTCCACCACGAATGCCAAGAAGAAGAGTGAGAATAATGAAGTAAATAGATATTTTTATCCGAAGTAAATACATGCAGAACGAACAGCTAAACGAATTTACTCCAGCAGAGCATATTCATCAGATTCGCTCATATTTCGATATCATAGACAATGCAGTTCAAATTGGTGACACTAATAGAAAATATTCTGACGCAAAGATTCCATCACAACCTGGAACTGCTAAAGATAACACATGGGTAACATTCAATCTCTCACCTCCTGGTGAAAATATGTTGGACCTTTACAATACATTCATTACGTATAAAATGGAAGGTCAATTTATTGTAGATAAAGAAATTGGTTCAGGTTCCAATAAAACAAACCCACCAGGATTTTGGATTGGTTTCGATGACGCTTTCTATGCAGTTGCTGGATATCAAATCCTTGCAAATGGTCGTATCGTATATTCTCAAGACAACGCAAGAGAAGAAGCATATATAACTTCAAACTCACAAACTACCGAACAAATAAAGAAAGTAGATGTTTTCTCAAAGACTCGACATGAAGATGTATGGAGTCATTCGGGAACATGCAGAACAGGACAAATTGTTAGTGGGCCGATTACAGCAGGAAAATCATTTGATTTTAAGCTTCGTTTAAGAATTCCTGTTAGAAGATTCCTTCCATTAGAAGCTATTCGATTTATTCCAGCTTTTGCAGGAAACATTCAGCTTAAAGTAAAGTTCAGTAGCGACGCCTTACAATGCACATCTATATCTGTAAATGATATCATTGCTTTCAATCCAACTCTTAAAGTTGCATTTGCTTCAGATTCAAATTCACCGACAAATAAATTTGTTCCATGGAATGAACCATTCACTATGATAACGAAGGCAGTAGAAGCTAGTGGAACAGTTACTATTACAACTGTAACCCAGCAACTATTTCGAACAAAGATGGATTTTAATGAATGTTTCATTCATCCAAAGTCATTCTCTTTAGACCCTAACATTTATACAGAACTTGTAGAACATTATACAAACGAGGCTTTATGTTTTCCTGTTAAAGTTATGGATTGGATTCCTATGGACGGTTCATTCTCAAAGAATACAGATAGTTCAAGTGCAACATTTACAGCAGCTTATACGCCTATTAATGTTAAAAGTATTTGGGCACTATTTAGAAAGAAAGACAACTATTATGTTAATTTTGAGAACCCTAAGTTTAAATATCTTCAGCTTTCCATGGGAGCTTATGGAAATATGCCTGCAGAACCTGAAAAATCATATGGACCTGTATTTTATGAAATGGTTGCGAACGCCTGCAATACAAACAATGATATGATAGGATTTAATGAAGATGTTATGAGGTCATTGGTGGATGATGGTAGTGTGGAACATAAATGGGATAGCTATGACAACACACATTTCTTATGTGGTTTTCCAACAGAAGTGGACTTTTGCTTCCAGCAAGGTCAAACATCTACTGCTCCAATAACATACAAATTGTCTGTTAAAGGACCTATTGAACTAGCAACTGAAAATGTACCAAAGCCACTTATTGGATTTATGAGGGATTGTTGCTTTGCCATTCAGGTGCGTGCTAATGGCATCCCCATAATAAGATTAGATGACTATAACTTAGCTACAGACGACGGTGAGGAATAAAGGATGAACGTTTATTTTAAAGCTTATAAATGAGTTCTTCATCAAGCTCTCGTGAACCTTCACCATCTATGAAACAAACTTTACCAAACGATTATGGAGCACCTATTGAATATTTCTTACGAGCTGCACAATGGCAAAGAGCAGTCTCACCAAGGTTAGGTGTTCCACCAGCTCCTGTCAAAAATAGCATTTGGTCAAATCCTTATATAAAATATGGTCTCCCACTAGGTTTGCTAGCTACAGCAGGAGCAGTTATGATGTTGAAAAGAAATAAAGCAAATGTTGTAAATAATACTGAAGTAGCTGAAGTTCAACAAACTCCAACGCCTTCACAAGCAAAACCTTCAATGACTCCTGAACCTATGGAAGTACAAACTCCTGTTCAAAAGTCAACTCCTAAACCGACTCCAACATTTAAACCAGAACCTACTCCTCAAATAAATCGTAAAACTCCTGCGTTTCCTTACTGAAAAAATAACGTTATTTTTTATTTAATATTACAATTTTTATTTGATTGAAATGACAAATAAAGTCACTGAAGCAATGAAACAAAAGTTTTTGGTAGAATACATTAAATCAGGAACTATTCCAGAAGGTTTTTACATTCATACTATAAAGGATGGTAGAGTTCAGTTTAGAAAGATAAAGCAACCATTAGATAAAGAAGGAATTTTGAGAAAGATTAAACTTCATGAGGACAACATTGCTGAACTTAAGAAGAAGTTAGAAGAGTTGGAGAAAGGAAGAGAGTTATAAAGCAATGAATTCAACAGGGTGAAAAAACAGGTGAAAAAAGAGGTGAGATCTCACCACTTCACCTAAATTTATTTTTGTGCTATGTTTTCATACGTGTGAGGGTGGTGATATCATTTATTTTTTATTTTATTTTTTATTTTATTTTTTATTTTATTTTTTATTTTATTTTTTATTTTATTTTTATATAAATGACGAAAACTATTGAGATAACAAACTACAACGGTCATGAGTTCAAGAATTTGTTCTTCGTTCCTCGTGAAAATACATTCTATCAGATACGAGGGAGAAAGGGTAAAGTTAGTTTGAGCGTTTATGAAGGAATGAAGAATGGAAAGTTTATACAAGCATACGATACAAACGGTAAACGTGTTTCATTAGCTTTGTCAAAACTTACTAACATTTATTTTGACAGTGATTTTGACCTATATGAAGAAGAAAGTGAGTCAGAAGATTATGAGCTGTTATGTGAAGCACAGCAATGGGAGGAGTTGCAATACTTTTGTAAGTGAGAACGTTTATTTTTTACATTAGTGAGGTGAAGTGGTTGATGGCTTTGTAAATATTTAAGGTTAAGTTAGTGTTGTCGTTTGTGTTGTAAAATATACGTTAACGGTTTTGTAAAGTGTCAAACCGCTAAGTGGTGTACGGAGGCGCGCAGTGCCTCAGTACACGACTTAGCCATACTAACTTGAGAATTCAAATCTTCACAAATATTTGAAATTATATTCCAGATGTTTCCGCAGATTTGATAGCGATGAAATATTCAAAAATGTTTTTCATATCTTAAACCTTGTAGAAGTTACAACAGAATATTTATCAGAAAATCAGGATCTTTCTGAGAAACAGATCTTTATTTGCAACGATATCCTAACGAGGGTTAATTTAATTTAATTTTTATTTTTTATTTCAAGTTTGAGTAAACTTTCAAGATAATCTATATAAGCCTTTTGATGTTCTTCATCTAGATTCTTGTTTAATATGTGATGAATTTGATTTTTTTTTAAAATTCAAGATAAAATTCTTTTTTATCTTGATCAACAACATGAACAATTCGAGTACAGCGTAACATTTCATCAATATTTTCTGTTTTCTTCGTTTCTAGATATTTTTCAAATATTTCTTGCGGAATCTCATTTTGATATACCCATTTATTTTTTTCCGGATGCTGATCTTTGTACTTAACGAAATATTGCTTGACTATTCGCTCAGAAACAACATATTCGATCTCTTTTCTCTTTCTCATTGAATATTTGTGACACTTTTGAATTCAATCAAATCAAAAATATTTGAAATTGCTAGAATTTTTTTCTTTCTCATGAATATTTGAAATGACTCAAAAGGAAAACTCGTTCGATTCAATTCAATTTTGAATCAGAATTTTTTAAGGACCAATAAATCAAATTATGTTAAGAAAATCTTTTTTTAACTCAGAGTATCAAAAGTACGTTAAACCTTCAATTTTATCTCATGTCGGAAAGCGAACCGACAATAGTGGAAGAGAATCAAACTATATCAGTATCCATCCAAGCTATTGTTGATGAAGAAAAAGGAGATGGAGCTGATATGCTGGATTTAATTCAAAATGAATTGAATTCCGTAAAAAATTGAAATATAGAATGGAAATACCTGAAAATCCCCAATTCCAATTCTCAAGGAAAGATATAGCAAATTAAAATTTACAGATCCTACAGAAGCTGCTATATTTATTGCAAAAGATTCATATAATTCTTTTTATCCATTAAATTTTGAGCAAGGAAAAAAGTTTCGTTGTCCTAACTGCCAATTTTGCATGGAGCTTGTAAAGACTCATGAAAATGGTCAACTTTTCTTCATTCCAGTAATTAAACACGAGCATAGAGCAAAGCAATGCAAGCCGAGTAACAATATACCAAAAATTCTTAAGTTGCAAGCAGGAAAAAAAGTCTATGAATTAGCAAATTCTGATAATGTTCCTCAATGCAAAGAAATTTTTGCAAAAGAATTGAATATTCCCAATGCAACTTATACGATGTTCCATAATATAGTAAATAAACTTAAAGGAACCACAAAAGGGGATAGAATTCAATCTTACAATTATTTCTCAACAATTTTTTCAATCATAAACAAAATCGAACAAGGATTCTGCGAAATGATTTTAGTTAAAGAAGTTAACAATGAAATTGAATTGCATACATTTAAGAAAGGTGATGAATTACCTGAAAATTCAAAAGACTTTCAAATTTATTCATTTATTGTAATTCCTCCAATAACTCATTTTTACATGCAAACACAAGCTTTTTGCGGAATAATTCAAATTGATGGAACGTTTTTATTTTGTATTAAAAAAGGAAACTTACTCATTATTGGTACACCTGCACCAAATAATAGACTTATCCCTATTGCATTTGCATGGTCTGTTAGTGAAAATACGATAACAATTAAGGATATGCTCACTAAATTGAAATCTTTTATTCCACCAAGCAGATTCAAGAATATTTATTCCGATCAAGGTCCGGCAATTATAGCTGCTGTTAGAGAATCAGGCTTTTCTTGCGATCATAAATTTTGCTTACGTCATTTTGCAACAAAAAGGGAATACATCAATGTCTATTCCGAAATTGTTGAAGTCGCTTACGCAGACCATCCTCAAAAACGAATTGACTTGATTAAAAAGTTAGAAACTCGTTTACAAGAGGAATATCCAAACCGCGAAAATAATCAGGATCTCTTTAAGTACTTAGATAGTATTAACCCATTTGAAGGATTCGCTGACTACACCGCTGGCATACTCACAACATCTCTTATTGAATCCCTTAATGCCGAAATTAAAGATAAATGGGATACATATGAACCCGCCGAACTAATTATCCGTCTCATTGAACATGAATTCAATCTTGTTAAAAATGTTTTAACAGGTGATTTTAAATCAGATAATATTATCAAAAATCTAAATGAAACTTTGAAACATTCAGATATGTTTAGCTCGGTATTATATGATCCAATTCAAGAATTATATTATGCAACTTTTGGTCGCTATACATATTGCGTAAAAATTATGTCAGATTCACAATATTCATGCACATGTAAGCACATCGAATTATACGGATTACCTTGTATTCATGTAATCGCCGTATTGAATCACTTTTCGAACAAAAATCTTCTTAAAAATTTGAATGATGCAGTTCATGCTCGCTTCAAATGTTCAGAGTTTATGACTCCTGTGGAAGATTTAATGAAATTTTATGTTGACCAAGCATCTTTAAAAATTCCCGGAATAAATTTCAACCTGGGAGAGATTGAAAAATTAAGGGGAAAAAGGACTAGGATTAAAGCATTTTACGAAAAGTGATGCTGTGTTGTTAGTTATTTATTTACTTTTTTTAATATTTTTTAAAAAAATAAAAGAAAATTCAAATAATTTTGTATCTCCCATGATATATCGACCCACGAGTACTAATGTGGCTATAATTAGAGATTGCAACTCTATTATGATCATAGTCCGGTGATATACAATAAGATTCAAATTTTGAAAGAATTAAATTAATAAAATCCCGGTGAAAAAATAAAAACAGCTTCTAAAAGTATAGTTATCTTAAAATACGAACTTTAACACAAGTTTTTTGATCCAATAGAAAATTGAATTCTTTGAATAAATAAAATATTTTATGTATTAACATATTAAATTTCCTAATTATTTTTTCTTCTTGGGAAAATTTTTGAA